CTCCACGACATGGCGGCGGCAACAACATTACTACAGCGAGAATAAAAGTTATGCCTTCTTTCTTTGCGTGAACATTTGGGCGGCGTTATGCAAATCTTCCCACATCGTGACGTAGACATGTGGGGCCGTGTTAGAAAGAGGCGTTTTAGGGGGGCGTGGCTGACTCTGAACTTTTATAAAGAATATCTCTTTGGATTTGAGACTTTAGTCTTTGCAACTTTACAGATCTTCTTTATGCACCAAGAGCTTGTAACACTCCAAAAAGAAAGGAAAAATTGAAATCTCATCATATGACCCCTTTAAGGTTTCTTATTTGTTATTTACAGACATTTTTGCTCATGTAGTCAGAGTGATGTGAACAGATATAAACACACTCACCTGATACGGTCAGCGTAACTTTATCACTGGTGTGTGAGTATCGTGATCCTCCTTTTTCTCTTCCAGTACAGCTGTAATTACCTGCGTGAGATTCACTAACAGAACTGATCCGGTATTCCTGCGATTGACTGACATGAATCACTGAATCATCTTTATTCCAGCTGTAGCTCCAGCTGGTGACGTCTGTCTCCTGTATGTCACATGTGAGAGTGACCGTCTGTCCTCCTCTGAACACACGTCCATCAGGCTTAACGCACTACAGGCTTGGGTCTCTCTGTGTAAAATAAACTGAAGTTTACTTTAACCGACAGCACATGATATTGTGGATGGGGGAAATTAATCTTCATAATATTATTGTAAACTGAAAATCAGATTGTCCTGTAAAAATAGCACTGACCTCCTACTGTTAGCACGACTCCTTGGCTTTGTATGGTCTTTTTTTCTACAGTACACGCATATCTTCCTCCATCAGAGACTCTTACTTTTCTCAGTGTTTCTGTTTCAGAACCAGCTTTTATTCTCTGAAAGTTTTTGAACCAGTGAATTGTCCGTCCAGTTGATCGTCCCACATCACAGATGAGAGTAACTGTGTCTCCAGTGAACACTGAACTCTGGGGCTTTACAGTTAATTTGGGCTTGTCTGTAAATATTTCATGATACATCATGACTACTTCATGAGTCATCATCTATCACTGCATTTATTTGTATTGAGACTGGGTTGTTTCTACTGTAGATGCTGTATGTTAGACAGACTGAATGTTAATTGTGTCTGCTTAAACACATTACATTAAACATTAAACATGTTGGTTAAAGGGGTCATATGGTGCTGCTAAAAAGAACATTATTTTGTCATCTCATGCCATCTCTGTGTGTGTGTGTGCATGAGGGCCTTTGTCTAAGTGTGATAATATTAGAGGGGGTCTTTACAATGAAGATCTTTCTGTATTTTTTACATGAAACATATATGTGATTTTATTCCATTTTAAACCAATAATGGGTTTGTCAGTCCCATGAAAATGTAAGGATGGTTTCACTATGGTTCAGGTTGCTATATTGTGTGACTATATTGTATCGCAACATTGGAATTCCAAAAGGAAGATGGGTTTGGGACAGGAATGCAAAAGTCTTTGTTGATATTCAACTCTACAAGTACAATTCACATACAATCTTCCGCTCTCAGGCCTCTGGCAGTCGCTGTGGGTGCTGATGTGGGTTGACGTGTGCCTTAAACAGAAAAATGACATGATAATCTCTGTAAATAGAATCAGGATGAAACCAGATAAAACAAACATTTCTCCTTAATTTGAAGTGACGTGTGGCCAAGTATGGTGATACTCGGAATTTGTGCTCTGCATTTAACGCGCACACACACACACACACACACACTCGGAGCAGTGGGCAGCCATATTGCTGTGGCACCCGGGGAGCAGTTGGGGCTTCGGTGTCTTGCTCAAGGGCCTCACCTCAGTCCCTGAGGTTATTTTATCAAAAAATAAAATAACAGCAGAGTGAATAAGTGTTGTAGTACTTGTTTAAATCATGCGTTCAACTGAAAATATTCAGTATCTAGAAGGAACAAACAAATTCCCTGAGAACTGTCTATAACTTCCCACTCATGTCTATAGCCGTCATAGCCTTCACAGTCTTTCTGATTTGAGTGATCCATCTCTATCAAGCTAGCTAAATATGTTTAACATGTGAATCCTTGCTAAATATGCAGTTATATTCCGGGCTGTTGGCATGAATTGTACTCGTGATGGATCAGATCTATTTCAGAACCAGCCGCTATCAAAATAATCTGGCTGCGGGCGCGGGCCGCCTGTTGCCGACCACTGCATTAGGCCATGCCCCAAATTTTGGTCAAATATTTGGTCATATCAATTAATATCCACTGTTTAAACTACTTGTTTAAAAATATTTGACAGATAATATAAATTGCAAACTTTACTATTGTCATGTTTGCTGCCTTCTTGTTGTCTGATTTGACTGTTTGCATTTTAGGGTTTTTAATCAACATTGATTCCTGTCAGTGTGACATAAGTGTGATACATTTAATCAGAGGGAGACAACTGGCTGTTTGTATGAGCTTTAAATGTTTGACACATATAAAATGACTCAAGATAAAGATGGACATGTAATAGATTTTTATTTATTGGTTTCCCTGTCCTTCATCCAAAACAGTAACTCTGTCCAAAACAGGCCTATGTCTAAACATGTCATCTGTTTAATTTGATAACAATAAAGTAGGCTATATATGGAAAATACATTTCCGTTACCCCTCCAGCCAGTGAATGACCTGTGATATAAAGAAATGATCTGATTCCATTTGATATTGTAACAAACGCTTGCACACAGTACCAATAAATTAATACGTTTTACTCATCAGTTCATACAAAAAAAATAAAAAAATCTGGGTAAAAAAACCCCTGTGTAATGACAAATGCGATCAGGTGCTGAGTTTGAGCTTTAATCGGGGGTTTTGTATCAATAAAGCAGCGAAACGTGGGAAGCAGCAGTGACCGGAGAAGAAGGACAGACAGATGTGTCGTGTGCTTCAAACTGACCAAAACAACGTCTGAATAAAAACCGCAACTCCCTCAGCGATGTTTCTCTCATTAAAGACACAGCCAAAGTGCTTGTTAAAAACACGGACGACACATTCAAATATTTACCACTGCTAATACCAGGGGCGGATCTAGAAAATAATTTTTAGGGTGGCAAAGGGGTGGCATGGGGTCTATGAGGGGTGGCAACACCAAAGCAAGCCCCCATGCATAGTTTTTGGGGATTTTTAACCTTAAACCGCATAAACACATTTCATTACACCAAATAATGTTCTTTTTAGCAGCAACATATGACCCCTTTAAAAGACGTGTTTTTGACATTATTTTGCATTACTCTCTCATCGCCGCGGCTGAAAAGTACCACATGAAGCACAGCTTTTTCTTATTGTGGCAGTTGCCACCCCGGTAGATCCGCCCCTGGTTAATACACAAAATTAGATGAAAGATACACGCAACCTTGTCTCAAGTAAGACATTCATCTTGAATCACTTTATTATGCTTAAAACTAATAAAATAAATAATAGGCGAGACAGGTTGATGTAACATTTAATACACAAAGGTAATTGAAAGTGTTCTACATAAAGTCAAAAATGTATATACGTAAAAATAAAGGAATACATAGAAAAATAAATACAGGTACACAATAAAGAAGCTCGTGAACATGGTTAACGTTGTGCTTGAGGGTTGGCAGCAGCAGGAAGAGGGTGGGGTTTGAAGTTCGGAGGGAAGTTCACTGATTGGCTTGGAACGTATTCACACTCCAGCCAATAGGACACTGGCACGCTTTCTTTTAAAAGTAACGTCGCAGCTTTCTGTATTATCATTCTTTATTTGAGCTGTGTTGTAGTGGTTGTTATCACAATGAGTGGAAGAGGTAAAACTGGAGGAAAGGCTCGCTCTAAAGCCGAGACTCGCTCCTCCAGAGCTGGGCTGCAGTTCCCTTTTAAAAGTAGGCCTAAATGTTTTAAATAACGTTGTCTCCAAAACTCTACACTAAAAAGTCTCAAATCTAAATAAAGTAGCAATAGCTATTGTCCCCCAGTTAGTACACTAAGAAAAATATCTAGAAAAATGGAAAAGGTACTAGTAATTTTCCAGGACATTATCCGTTATCCATCATCCGTTGTAACCCAAAACACAAAATACAGTGCGTAATTTAAAATGCAGGTAAAAACCTGTGAATTCTTTTCTTAGAGTGTAGCATACTGACTACTAATACACTGCTTAAAACTATAATTGTTCAGAATGTGTAGTTTTACTAGTTTACTAGCTAATAACAAGACTTGTAATCGTTCAAAAATGTGCAAGTGTTCAATAATTCAATGTTGTATATAAAAAGTTATTTATATTTTAACATTATATTATGCATTTATATTATTTTACGAACAAATCTAAATTAACATAAAAATATATTTGTTTTTAATGTAGTGACACAATTTTGCGGCGTGATGACGTAATGACGTCATCACGCAATTACATCACAATGTCATTTAGCAACTTTTAGCAACAAATCGAACTTCCTTTAGCAACTTCCCCTGAAAATTAGTTGGCAACACTGGTTCACAGGCTTCTCCGCAAAGGCCACTATGCCGAGCGCGTCGGTGCCGGTGCTCCGGTGTATCTGGCCGCTGTGCTCGAGTACCTCACCGCTGAGATCCTGGAGTTGGCTGGAAACGCCGCTCGGGACAACAAAAAGTCCCGTACACCTGCAGCTGGCGGTGCGCAACGACGAGGAGCTGAACAAGCTTTTTGGCGGCGTGACCATCGCTCAGGGCGGCGTGCTGCCCAACATTCAGGCCGTGTTGTTGCCCAAGAAGACCGAGAAACCCGCCAAGACCAAGTAAACCGAGAAAAGTTTCTCTTCAAACCAAAGGCTCTTTTAAGAGCCACACATTTTCTCCACGTGAGAGCGATTTTTCATTCAGTTGGTATAGACCATAGTCTTTGATATAAACCCAGTTTGAAGTTTATTTTATTTAAAATTATTTTAATACTGACCCATTTTATTTGAAATCCCGTAT